CCGAGCGGAGAAGAGAAGAGAAGAGAAGAGCGCGGAGGAGCGCGGAGGAGCGCGGAGGAGCGCACCGTCCCCGAGTCCGTGCGTCCGCGCGGCAGACGCCTGTCGGTCGGCCGAGTCGGGAGGGGAAAGTGGCAAAGTGCTTTTATAGCGCGACGACCGGGTGGGCGGGAACGCGGTCGGTCGTGACACCCGTGAGAGAGAGAGAGCGCTTGACTCGCTCGCGGCTGGCTATCTGCGCAAGGGGCAGACTTGGGTGCGCGTGCGTGCGTCACCGACAGACACTCGTCGGTGTGTGTGCGTGCGCCTTCGTGTTTGACTTGTGGATATCTGGGTGAATGCCTGTGCGCCTTTTTGTCTTATTCACGTGTGAGACTTTTGTGTTCGAGTCCGTGTGTCTTGTGGATATCTTTGTGTGTGGGCGCACGCGTGTGTTTAAATACTTTTTTTTTTTATCTACGCGTGTGTGGCTCGTGTGGATTGGAGTCGCGTGCATTCGCCTTTGCGTGCGTGCGCATGCGTGTGTTTGCGTTGTTGATATGGATGAGTGTGGGACCCATGTGGATGTTTGCGTTCGGGCGTGTGCGTGAACTCGACAAACTGTTCTGAATATTTTTACTTTTCACCTTTTCTGGGCCACACACACACATACACAATAATCAACAAGAAGAAAAAATGGTTTTTTTTTTGTTGTTGTATTTCTTCTTTCAGTCACATCTGTGTCATCTGTTTTTTGTTTTCGTCAAAAAGTCTCAAGACTTACGCGCGCGTTCGGATTGCCTGGGCGGCAGCGCCCTCTAGTGCATCTGCATGGAATTGAACGTCAGCCATGAGTGCGAGGTCCGTCCCGGGACCTCGGAGGCGACGGCAACACGGCTGGCTTGAATTCTTCAGGAGCAGTTTGATTCTTGGTCCCGGTCCCGGGGAACCTCGGACGCGACGGCAACACCGCTGGCTTGAATTCTTCAGGAGCAGTTTGATTCTTGAAGGGAGAAACCCAACAGAACACGCCCCGGAAACGCTACCTTCCCCCACCAAAATCAGAAAAAGACAAGAAATCGAGCCTGTCTCCTATCAATCACAAACAGTGTGGGAAAAGTGCAGGGAGCTTCTCCCAACTACGACCGCGCGGCTTGACTTCAGCAAACGTTTGCAGGTATTTACATAGGTGGCGCTACAGCCTTCGAGATATGGCAACAGTGTCTCCACAAAGTAGGAAAAGTATCACAGTTGGCTTGCGCAAAACAGCTCATCAAAACTCCGAGCATACACAACTCAAACAAACACTCATTGACATGTTTATGGTTGTGGAAGGGCTGGAGAGGAGTCGCAAGCAGTGACCCACAGGCGGGTGTCGCTTCGCTTTTGTTTTTTTGAAGTTCAACTCGAGGGGCTGATTTTAGGACGTTCGACTCCCCAAGCCATTTTTTTCACATTTGAAAGCTTTTGTAATGTGCAGTGTTGTTGCCTATGTTGTTTTGGAAAGAAAAGTGACTCGTTTTTGTCCTGGGTTGACACCAGCGCGGGAGCCTGGCGGCCTTCACAGGGGAGGCGCCTAATCGAAGGTTTCTCGTCTCGACGTTCGACGTGGAGAGGTGCGCTCGTATTTTGGACCGTCGAACATTTCCTGGTCTCGGAGATGATGAGGTCACGCGTGTGTCAGCTTGTTCCATCGAGTTCAGCCGGCTATTGGTTCAACGACACGTCATTCGTATCCAGGGTTGCGTCATGTTGGCCATTCTCCATCGTGATTGGTCGAGCCGGCGGTCGGCCGGGTCTCGGCCGCCTGTGATTGGTCGGCGCCAGACATTGCCCTACATGGCCAAAGAGATTTCGCAATCGGCTCGTGTCCATGTTGGAAACCAAAACAGCGCGAGCGCGCGGCGACTTTGGGGGCAATTCAAGCGGAAACTTTACTCCCGACCTTGTCATTTGTCACCGCTTCTTCACGCTAGTGTCGCCCCGAACAAGGTAACGTAGCTTTTCGACGCAGGAAAAACGCTGGCGCCTGCCATTAGCGCGACACGCCGAGAAGCTAGGCGATAGCGTCGGCGTCAACATTGACAAAGACGGGAAACTGTACTGGGGCTCGTTTGACGCCGTTGGCTTTCACGGAGCCACTCGTCCACTTTGGCGTCAGGTCGCGTCGCGCCCTCGAGACATCGTGTCGCGTCGTGGGCGCCGCGGACGAGCTAAAGTGTACACAAAGTAGTCCGGAGAAGCAAAACGAAGCCGCTCTCGCTAGCCGCGTTAGCCTCTTAGCCGAGCGTGCGCTCCTGTTTGTCCTCGTAATGTGTCGTTGATGCGTCATTGGAGTCGGCTTCCAAGTGAACGTGGAGTTCCCCGATGATGCAACAGCAGGCAAGAAGGCGGCCGGGCGCTCGTTTCCAGCCGGAAGCGTCACGCATGCGCAAGAGGCCCGCGGAGAAACGCCTGAAACGCCTCCGCCAACCACGGCGCAAATTCTCGTTGGGCGCTTTTGTTTGACTTTTCTGGGGGATCGTTTTGATGTTGTTGTTGTTGTCGTAGCGCATAGCTGCCAAACCGGGAAGGAAGGCTCCACATGACCCAACAACATGATAACAATGGACGTTTGAACATCAGTCGACATGTTGAATCTTGATCGGTTGTCACGTTCAAACGTGCCAGGGTTTGACTTTGGCATTCATCGAAACAAAGCGAAGCAATTCCTTCGGGTTCAAGTCGCCGCAGTCTTTTATAAAGCTAGTTACGTCGCTCCACCGCCCTTTTAAAATCCTGGAAATAGCATTTGACAAAGACGACACACACACAGCTCACTTTCGGTTCTGATCAGTCGTTTCGGTGTCTTATGAATCGAAACGACACTGCTCTTTTATAAATAATACTGTGTCAAATAGTCATAATGTTTGGGGGGAAAAAATGAATATTTGAAAAAGAAGACACGGACGTCAGGAAAGAGTTGCTTCATTTTGCGTTTCCGAATGCGGAAGTCAAACTTGGTGCAGTTTAACTTATCACCTTGAACCTATCACGTCATAACATGACATCAATAACATGACGTGATTTAAAAAAAAAAATTAATATCAATTTGCGTTGCATTTGTGAAATTGCTTGTCGATGTTGCGCTCCTGGCGGCGCGAAGCACCGTGAGTTCCCCTGTGTCTGAAATGCGAAATCCAAACAAAGTTTGCTTGCCCTGAGATAGGCGTCAAAAATGCGTTGATCAAAAGTTACTGTTGACCAGCATTAGCCTTGTCTCCCCCCCCCCCC